TTTTCACTTGAGATCTGGAAGAGTGGTGCAGGCTGACCAGCTTCTCCTATTTTCTCCTTAAGACATAGGGGCAGGTCAGGAGTCAGCAGAGATCAGCAAGCACAGATGCAGAGTGGTAAAGTAGGGAACGCCAAGCTGATCTCGGTATTCTAGAAGCCAAGAGAATCTTCCCTCTAGAGATGAAGGATCCAGTCCTTTGCCTGATACAAGAAGGACTGGAGAGTTCTGGCCCTTGCTTTAGCACAGAGGGCTGGGTTCCAGCGGGGCTGACCCAGAGGAATAGCTGCCATCCCAGAATCTACGATTGAATCCGTAATGTTGGGTAGCCCACATCTCAGATGGGGAAACTGAGACTCAAAACATTGCTGAAGGTCAGCACTAAGAACCTGGTGCTTTCAGTTCCAAAGCCAGGGTGTCCCATCTCTAGCTAACTCTCAGTAAAGGGTGGCATTCCTGTGGCAGAGCAAATGAGACAGGCTTCCAGCTCCAGCCCTCTCACGTCAGTGACAACACTGACCATCGGACCCTGTGACTTGCCTGTTGTGGGACAGAACTGCTGACCAGGAAGCTAGAGAGTGTCTAGACCTGGGCTGCACCTGGCATTTGCTATGGTAACATGGCCAGCATGGAAGTCAGCCTGGTGGACTTCAGCTTGGCATGACCATCAAAGGATAGGTCGTTGTCCTAGGCAGCAACAGAAATGCCTGAGCATTTCTGCCTCAGGCGTCACAAGGAAAGCATTGGGCCTGTACCCATGGTGGCCTGTTGACATGTTGATGACTTCTGACACCCCCAGCTCTCACAACACCCCGGAGAGTTGGGCATCCAGGAGAGAGGGTCTAGCTGGGACTCTTGGAAGCTAGAGAATCGGGGTACAGGTTCTTCATATACAAGAGGGAGAAGCTGCTGGAGAAAAGCCAAGGACCGAAGGAGGGCTTTTACAAACATCAGGCATGAGCCTGGTGGCGGCAGCCTGGCCTCTAGACCTGCCCCACGGAGTTCCTGTGGAGGGCTGGGTTCCTTTTCATGTTACTTTCTGAAATTATATTTGACATGATCATCTGAACAGTAAGGAAGAGAGTCTGAGGGGACAGAAGTCGCTTCACCCCACCCAACCCCTCTTCACCCCCTTGGCCAGTTCCCAGGGTACTCAGAGCCTTCTCTATTGGTTTTTCAAGTCCCCGTTGTATGAGCATCCCCGTCTGCTCTCTCACGGGGCAGAGGTGGACACAGAGTGGAAGGACCAGCACGGGAGCCCACTGCTTCTCGGCCTCCTGCTCTCTGGTGGCTGTGGGGACGTAGTGCTCTGTCATCCCCAGCACTGTACACTTGCCATGGGCACCATGGGCCAGGCCTTCAGAGGCCTGGACACTGCAAGCCCCAGTCAAGGGTTTGTTATTGTCGGTGGACAGATCCATGTCCCCTCTGCCTGAGTGGCTCTGAGGCAGGCCCACACCGTTAGCATGGTACCTGCAGACAGAAGTCAACAAAGAAGCTCTCTCTGCCTGTGACCTGCTCTCAAGTGGTTCCAGAGCTAGTCAGGCTAACCAGAGGACCATGTAGGCCTTTGGGAGCTGGGGTGAGGACAGATAGGGCCAGGCTACCAGCCATCCTTGAGCTTGGCTCCTCTGAAACCCCTAGGAAGTGTTTCGGCGGCACCGGGGACTGCAGCTCCTGTCCCTGGTGGAGGAGGTACTGCCGCGCCACCGCAGTGGCCACCGTGGAGACTGGCACATTTCCTTGAGCAAGCCTAGTGAGAAAGAACAGCACCTGCTGATGACGCTTGTGGGCGAGCAGGGTGAGCAGGAGGTGGGGGAGGTGTCCCACCACAGGCCCCTAATGGGAGCTCAGAAAAAAAAAATGGACAGGCTGGAAAGCTGGGAGCCCCAGACAGGAGCATGCTAGCACAGGGCTCTGGGTGGGGTGATGCCTGGGTTCCGGGCATGAGGAGGCAGGTATGGGCATCACACACTATGAGAGGGGAACCCGGGGGCTGCCTTCTAATATCACACCTGTCATATGCTGTCCCAGTGGATCAACTGAATGGGAGGCAGGTCAGCAGGGGACATACATGGGGCTCTGTGATTAGAACCAGAGGTGCAGCAGAGAAGGCTCAGGCAGGCTGCCCTGGGAGGGGTTGGGTGGTGTGGAGACACCTCAGGGGTGATGACAGTATTTCTCCTCCAGGGGTGATGCCCACTCAGGATGTCCTTTCCATGCTCAGTGGGATCCGCAGGAGCCTGGAGGAGGTAAGTGTGCAGGGACTTGACCAGGTGGCCACTGCAGCACCCTCTCCCGTTCTTGACTCTCAAAAATGCTGGAAGAACTCTCAGCCTGCTCCAAGACAGGGGTGTGTTTCAGGGCCCCTGGCATCCCCTGACACAAAGAGCGTGTATAGGCAACCAACTGGGCAAAAGGACTGTAGACTCCCAGGCCGTGGTGGGAGAATGGCCATGGAAAGGGGACTAAGTAGGATGGTATCTGAAGAACCTGGTGGAGGGGAAACAAGATAGGTCCTGCTCCTACCAATGCCCCTCCAGGATAACCTGAGGTGTGGGGGATGTCAGGAACTGGGAACAGCCCTCCATTGTTAAAGGTGGCCTGATCAAGTGTGTTCTTCTGGCCCCCGCTGGGCTACAAAACACATACATAAACTGGAGTTCCAGATATCCAAAGACTCAGAATGATCCTCCCGGCCCCCGCCTGCTCTCCGTCACCCACGACCTGTTCAGTCTTCCCTTTGGAGGGACTCTGCATTGTTTGACAGCATGCAGGGTGTCACACAGCAAAGGAGCTATGTGTTTCTGGCCTATATCTACTGTTTACAAGGGCCAGACCACACTGGATTCTCCCTTTGTCCCCTCTTCCACTCCATGGGGTTGTAAGGGTTAAATGAGGTGAGAGCATAAAGGTCAGGGGCCTTGCCTGAGATCTCCCAGGTAGCAAGGCTCTGATGGAAAGCTGCTGGCTTCCTGGGTGACTCCCAAAGGTCTCTTCAGCCTTGAACATCTGGGCCCAGGTACACAGATGGACGTTGGAAATCTTCGAGTGTTTCACATAGTGCAGGAAAGCTGGCCTCTACTCCACAGTACCTGAAGCTGGTTTGTAGAGAGCTTTCCCACCGGGAGAGAGACCCAGCTCAGCCCAGAGCGAGGCACAAGCCACTGTGATCTTACCACTGGGAAATGGAAGAACCTGGGTGCCTCAGTTGTGGGCAGCAGTTGGCATCCCCACTGATGCCAGGCTGCCTGACCTACCAGGGATGGCCAGAATGACATTGCCAACCCCGAAGAAGGAAGCTGTGCTTCAGGGTTCTGACTTTGTGTAGTGAACTTGAGAGTCACTCTTGGTGCTTTGTGTCATTATTGGGGATAGGTGTGGGGCCCCATTTATTTGGGCTGTGACTGTCAGCATGGAGAACGAGCTGAGTGCTGGGCAGGGCCAGAGCAGGTGCATTCCAAGTTGGGTTTGGGCAGAAAGCACAGTGAGGATGTGAGGGGGCTGAGAATGTGGCCACTGGGAGAGGCTTGGAGCTGTTCTTAGATAAACCTATAGGGACAGAAGAGTAAGCCCCTCAGCACAGGCCTAGGTCCCAGGGCTGTCAGGGCTTCCAACTCAACCCTGTCAGGTTAGTAGCTGTCTCAGGACTTTCCTGAGGCCTGGTTCCCCTCCCCCAAACCCCAGATTGGCATCCAGAACTACTCCACCACCAGCAGCTGCCAGGCACGGGCCACCCAGGTGCGTAGTGACTACGGGACGCTCTTTGTGGTGCTGGTGATCATCGGTGTCATCTGCTTCATCATCATCGTGCTTGGCCTACTCTACAATTGCTGGCAGCGTCGGCTGCCCAAGCTAAAACACGTGGTGAGTAGGCCAGGTAGGGCTTGGGTAAGGGCAGCGTGTGGCCAGTATCAGCAGCCTCACCTGGTCACCTGTACAAACTCAGTTGTGCAGTGCCAGGCTGGGGCCTGCGTCTACCTGTCTCTGAGCCTGGTATTGTGTCAGTGAGGGGTGTAAGTCTCACCAGTGGGTCCCTCCTCTTCTCCAGCTCCTCCTACCCCCAGTGCAGGGCTTGAGAGCAGCTGCACATCTTGAGTCACTCAGGGTCCAGGAGCATAGGGCTCTCACAACTTGCGCGAAACCGGGCAGGCCCTGGCCATGTGTTCTGAGTTTCAGGGGGGCGCTCAAATCTAGAATGGGCTGTTGAGAGGGATCAGGTAACACCAGGGAGGTCACAGGGTTTACTGTGCAGAGGATTAAGGCTTGTGCGGCAGGCACTTGTCTACTGGGCTCCCAGGAACACCCTGGGGGCTTGGCGTGGCCAGCCCCCGCGCGCGCCCCAGCGCTCTCTCCCGCTGCCGCAGTCACACGGCGAGGAGCTGCGCTTCGTGGAGAACGGCTGCCACGACAACCCCACGCTGGACGTGGCCAGCGACAGCCAGTCGGAGATGCAGGAGAAGCAGCCTAGCCTGAACGGCGGTGGAACCATCAACGGCCCGCACAGCTGGAGCGCGCTCATGGGCAGCAAGCGCGACCCTGAGGACTCGGACGTGTTCGAGGAGGACACGCACCTGTGAGCACCGGGCCGCGCGGAACTGCCCGACGCCGCGGCCCCGCGCCCCTCCCGGCCCTCCACGCGGAGCCACTACGCTTCCCCACCGCAGCAGGCGACCGCGGCGCAGCTCCCACCCCGCCCCGCCCGGCCCGGCCCCGAGCGCTGCCCGAGGGCGGCGCGCTCCCCGCGCCCGGACTCCATTAAAGCCGCCAAGACGCGCGGGCCGCTCCGCCTACTCGCCTGTTTCTTGAATCACTCTGGGGAAGGAGGGGACGGGGGCGAGGCCTGGATGAGTAGGTGGGGCGCGGGAGGGCTCCGACTGGGTGGGCGTGGTTAGGGGCGTGTGGGAGGAGTCTAGGGAGTGAACTGTCTTCCGGGTGGGATCCGGCCTGCGCCTGAAGTATGTAGGGGACGGTCCTGATGGGCGAGGCCTCGGCCTGGTGGGCGGGACGTGAACCGGGCAGGTATCCGGATGGATGAGCATTGTTAAGGTTCAGTGTGCCAGGCCTGGGGGTGGTGCTGTCCTCAGGGCCGAACCCGGGCAACGTGGGCGGGGCCTGTAGCGGACCGCCCTTCGGGTGAGGCTCTTAGTGGGAGTGGGGCCTTGGTAGTGAGCTGGTTTCCGGGCGAATGGGCGGAACCTGGCGGGGTTGAGTTGCCCTCTAGCCGTGTGGGCGGGGTCCTGGCTAGAGGGCCCGGGAGCTTAAGTGAGCGCGGTTGAGGCTAATGGGTGGGGCCAGCGGTCTTCTGGATGGGGGGGCAGGGTACGGGTCGGGCAGTCCTCCGGGCGCCAGGCGCCGCTGCGGAGCCAGCCACTGCTGGGCCGTGCCGCGAGGGGCGGGGCAGTGAGTGTTTACATCCGCCCGGGCCCCGACGACTCCCGAGATCGCTCGGCCGGGGGTCCAGCCTCCTTCGCCATGGACACCAGCGACCTGTTTGCCAGCTGCAGGAAGGGGGACGTAGGCCGTGTGCGGTGAGGACCTGCAGTGCAGGAAGCGGGCCGGCGTCCGCAGGGCTTACGGGTGTGCGGGACGGGCGCCGTGGGGCTCCCGAGGCTGACCCAGCCCGGAGAGATCGGGCTCCAGGTCCCTTAGCTGACCCGGTGCAGGGAAACGACTCCCCTTCGCGGAGGTTTCCAGAGACGCAGGTGCTCCTGATACAGCCAGTAAGAGCCCTGCGCCGAGATCTGGTCTTCGTGTGCAGGCAGGGGGAGAACGGGTCCTGGCCTTCACTTTTCTTTAATAGACTTCTTTCTCCCATGGCCCTTCCTTCCAAATCCTCTGGTGCTCATCAGTGGAACCCAGCATGTAGCGCTCTCTCAAACTCCGCTTAGGCCTGTCCCCAACACCAAATGCCATCTCGGAGTTAATCATCGCTCCCTCAGCTTGACTGCAACTCTGAGAGCCCAGGTCCTGCCTTGATAGCTTGCTTGGGCTGTCTCAGTGATGGTTTCCTGGTTCAAGACCTCTTCTCTTCAGCATCTTATCAGTTGTTCTTTCCACTTCTTCCATAGATCTGTCCCTGTTTCCTGCTCTCCAAACGCAGAGTGCCTGCATCAGCTTCCCCCTGGCTTATCTGTTTTCAGCTCCCCAGGCTGAATGAAGTATGGGCCGGATGCGTCACCTTCTCTCTCCCAAATATTACAAGACCATATTCTCAGTTTTCTGAACCTGGGGCTTTTTCCCTGCAGCTGTCCCCTAACTTACAGTTGCTGACTCTTGCGGGTCTTCTCCCCCTTCCTGGCCCCCTCCCCCAGATCGGAAGCAGTTCTGACCCAGGCTCTGCACTTCCTGCGCAGGTACCTGCTGGAGCAACGAGACGTGGAGGTGAACGTGCGGGATAAGTGGGACAGCACCCCTTTGTGAGTGTGAGTGGTGGGGCAGCTGGGTGGGCAAGGTGGGCCTGCCCTACTGACAGCTGCCCCCTTCCCCAGGTACTATGCCTGCCTCTGTGGACACGAGGAGTTGGTGCGCTACCTGTTGGCTAACGGTGAGAGAGGGTGGGTCTGACTGTATGTAAGCTCTGAGGCCTTGCTGCACATTTGCGCGCACCTTGGATTTCTTTTTAATTCCCAAAAGTCAACAAATGGTACTATTAACCCTCTGTCTGTTTCTTCCTGCCGCCCTTGACAGTCCTGGGGCTGACACCCCAGGCCAGTTCCGGGGCTGTCTCTAGACTATCCCACCATCGGTCTGCTAAACTGCCTCTCTTGTCCCACCTAGAGTCTGACCTGCACACTGCAGGCGGGAGGATCTTTCCACAGCAAAGCTGGTGGGACTTGAGGAGAGTTTGGGATAAAAGCAGTTGGACATGGTGGTTCACACCTGTAGTAATTCAGTTACTGGGAGAAAGTTGAGTCAGGGTGTTTATCTCAAGTTGAAGGCTAGTCAAGGCTACATTGTGAGACCTGCTCTTTCCTCCTTCCTTGGGTCTCCCACCTGCTGGCTGCCCATCAGCCGTTGGTCCCTTAGTGCCCCACTAGACAGCCATCTCCTACCTCAGGGTCTCTTCAGTGACAGTGCCTCCTGTGTAGACTGGAGTTTCTGTTCAGATCTGTACACTTCTCACTCACTCAAGTCCCTGTACTTAGCCGCTGCACCAGCCTTCACAGCCACCACCATCGTCACCCTTGGTTCTGTTTTGTAATCATGGCGGCTGTCAAATAATAAGGTGCCCATGTGCCCCACTTGTGAAGGTTCAGTTGGGGCAGGCATCAAGATGGCTGTATACAGGGCCAGCCATCCAGTCTGCTCTTAGCTGCATAGAGTCTGATAGGTATTCATAAATATGCCTGCATCTAAGTGCATGGATTGTGTGCCCTTGGTCTTCACAAGGCCCCAAGGGTTACCTGGTCCACCTTGGGGTCCTCTCCGACTTCCGGGATCTACATGTGGGAGCTGGGAAGGAGGAGAGGTTTGGGATCTCCCCAGACTAAGTGTTTTCTTGACTCTGACTAGTAATCGTCATTTTGTAGGGGCCCGCTGTGAGGCCAACACCTTCGATGGAGAACGGTGTCTCTACGGGGCGCTAAGCGACCCCATTCGCCGGGCACTGCGAGACTACAAACAGGTCACTGCATCCTGCAGGAGGCGGGATTATTATGATGATTTCCTGCAGAGGTGAGCTGGGGGCGGAGCTTGCAGCATTGGTGGGGTTGCTGTGCCCTCTCCTCAGTGGTTCAGGTGGGCGGTTGTGCTGAGTGGTCTTGACGCACCAGTGTTTGCCTGGGTGATGCAGCCCTTCCTGGCTTTCTCCAGGCTCCTGGAACAGGGCATCCACAGCGACGTGGTCTTCGTGGTACACGGAAAGCCGTTCCGAGCCCATCGCTGCATCCTTGGTGCTCGCAGCACCTACTTCGCCAACATGCTGGACACCAAGTGGAAGGGCAAGAGCGTCGTGGTTCTCAGGCACCCCCTGGTGCGTCCGTCTGCTTTGGCAGAGAGTGCTGACTTCTGGGAGAAGAGTTAGCTCATGCTGCATGGTGGCCTCTGACCTTTTCTTTCTGTTCTGCCCGCAGATCAACCCGGTGGCCTTTGGGGCCCTACTGCAGTACCTGTACACAGGTGACTGACTCCCCAGCTGGGACAGCAGCACACCTAGGGTGGCCCCAGAGCTGATGTGCCTCCTCTAAGCCAGTCACCATTGGGGAGGAGGGTGTGCCCAGTGCGCAAGCATACTGACTTGGGCACGGTGCACTAACTCACGTGCTTGGGGAGAACAGGTTCCATCCATAAACTGAGCAAGTCTTAGGTCCTTCTGGATGAAGAAACCAGGGTATTGAGTAGGAATCACTCTCAGGTCCTGACCTGGCACCTCCCTCCCACCCCCATCCAGGCCGCCTGGACATTGGTGTGGAGCATGTGAGTGACTGTGAGCGCCTGGCCAAGCAGTGCCAGCTGTGGGACCTGCTGGATGACCTAGAGGCTAAATGCGAGAAGGTGTCTGAATTCGGTGCGTACAGGGTCTCAGTCCAAGGCCTTGGGCTACATCCCACAGCACTGGTCCAGCTGTCTAAATCCCCGCTGTCCTCTCCCCCAGTGGCTTCCAAGCCTGGCACGTGTGTGAAGGTGTTGACTATTGAGCCCCCTCCAGCAGATCCTCGGTTGCGGGAGGATATGGCACTGCTGGCTAGCTGTGCCCTGCCACCTGAGCTGCGGGTACTAAAGGGCATTGCCAGTCTGGTGGGCAGGAAGGTTGTCTAGGGATGGGCTTGTGAAGGGCAGGCTCCACAGAGCTGGGTTCCCCTCCTAGGCCAACCTAGGAAGCTGCGTCCCTTTCATGGACAGCTCTGCTCTGAAGGGTGCCTTTCCTATGCCAGGGTGACCTAGGAGAGCTGCCCTTCCCATGTCCCGATGGCTTCAGCAGCTGCCCTGATGTCTGCTTCCAAGTGGCCGGCTCCAGCTTCCTCTGCCACAAGGTGCCTGTCCCATGCCTGGCGCTCCTGTTCAAGTCCTGAGCTAGCTCCCCGGGGGGAGATTTCAGCCCTGGTGCTTTCTGAACTTGCCTCCTGCAGGCTTTCTTCTGCGGCCGCAGCGACTACTTCCGAGCCCTGCTGGATGACCACTTTCAAGAGAGCGAGGAGCCTGCCGGCTCCGGGGACCTCCCGGTTGTCACCCTGCACGACATCTCCCCGGACATCTTCACTCATGTGCTGTACTACGTGTACAGTGACCATACAGAGGTGCGTCACCCAGTAGGAGGGCAGTGGCGAACGGAACCCTGGCTTGCCATAGTTCTTGGGATGCTGGGCTCTTGGGTCATTCCCGCCCTTAGCTGTCCTGGGTGGCGTAGATGGCGCCAAGGTTTCCCGCTGTTGGGGAGTGTGCCTGGCGCTGCAGCAGGGCAGTATACAGGAGAGAAGTGCTTTCCATTGAGTCCGAGGGGCCAGGTGCCTTGCTGAGCACCAGATGTCCCTCTGTCTGGCTTCCCTAGGCATTCCCACAGGCCTTTCCTCAGAAGGTAATGTTTTAGGCATGGTGGGCCATGTGGTATCTTCAGGGCTGTTCAGCTGGGCCTGCTATGCTCCAGGAAAGGTCCGTGCGGAAATGGTGGGCCTGACCTCAGGCTGTGGCTCTCCCATCCTACCCTGGCTGTGTCCTCTACAACTAAGACTGGAACCACAGGAGTGTGTGTACCTATACCACTTCCTGTTGACCCCAGTCTTGTCCCCCCGGCTCCCACCAACCTGTCCCCTCTGAATTATGATCTGCCATCAGCCTCCCTTCTGTCCACTCCCTCACTTCCTTTCTCATGGCCTGCCACTCACTCTGTGGTTGAGTCTGTCATCCTGAGTCACAAGCTCCCTCCTGAAGAAGCTTTGTACCCCAGGAACATTCTTATAGCTCAGAGTGGGGGTTGGCCTCTGAACACGGTTTGACAGTAGCTCTTGTGAGCTGTGCCATCTTGGGTAAGTTACATACCTCCGCTGTGTAAGTGTGCCCCGCCCCTGGAAGACAGAGAATAAATGTGTTTCCCTGAGTCTTGGCCATGTGACCAAATGACCTCAGGTCAATTGGATGGCAAGGTGACAGCCGGAAGTGCGGTGGCATAGTCCCTCTTCTTTTCCCTCTGCTCAGTCCCTGGGCCACCGAAGGTCTGGGCCACTGAAGGTCTGGCCGAAGCTAGACCCTTGGTCTTTCTCAGCCAAGGCCTCACTGTCCTCTGCTTAAATCTGTGAGGTCTCTCACAGTCGAAGGAGCCATGCCCCAGCTTGTGCACGGGAAATGGAAACCTTCCATTTTTCCACAGTCTTTGGAAACTTTTCACTTTTCCAACAGTCTTTGAAGGCAGGCATGAGTATCAGTCTCTACAGATGAGGGAACTGAGGCACAGAGAGGTGAAGGGACTTGCCTGGGACCCCACAGCCAGGTGTGGAGAGCTTGGGTCTATGACTGAGCCCACACTGTTTTCCCTGGAAGACCTCTAGCTCCAAGCACTGGCCTGCGGTGAGGCATGGGACCCCTGCTCTATCCTCAGGGACTTAGGGCAGGCTCCACAGATGGGAGTCATTTGTGTTCCCACTGAGACTTCTACCCTGGGCCCTGGAAGCCCTTGGTAATCACTGGTGTACCGTTGTCCTTTTTTGTACCACAGCTGCCCCCTGAATTGGCCTATGATGTGCTAAGTGTGGCGGACATGTACCTTCTACCTGGCCTGAAACGGCTGTGTGGCCGCACCCTGGCCCAGCTGCTGGAGGAGGACAGTGTGGTGGGTGTTTGGCGCGTAGCCAAGCTCTTCCGCCTGGCCCGACTGGAGGACCAGTGCACTGAGTATATGGCCAAGGTCATCGAGAAGGTGGGCAGGGCTGCCGAGAGGGGAGGCTGTGGGGGCTGGGATCCATGCCGTGCCGGGATGCAGCCTGTCCTGAGCCTGCTGTTCCGCAGCTGGTAGAGCGGGAGGACTTCGTGGAGGCCGTGCGGGAAGAGGCAGCAGCTGTAGCCGCCCGGCAGGAGACGGACTCCATTCCGCTTGTCGATGACATCCGCTTCCATGTAGCCAGCACAGTCCAGACCTACAGCGCCATTGAAGAGGCGCAGCAGCGGCTGCGGGCGCTTGAGGACCTGCTTGTGTCCATTGGCTTGGACTGCTGAGCCCTTGCTGCCTGGTAGCCCTGGGGCCAGGGCTTCCATGGTGACGAGCATGCCGTGTGTGCATGCAGCAACTGTTGGCTCTTGCACGCTTGGTGGCAATACAGTGGGCAGAGGGGACCCATTGGGTTCCTGTGATGAGCCTCCTCCTCCAGTGCACAAGAAAGCCCCGAGACTTGGGGCCGTCACCACTCAGGGAAAGCTGGGGTACGGTAGGCTTGGAACTTAGTCCCCTCTCCTCCAGCACCTCACTTGCTCCTTCCTGGCTTTCACCCAGCCCTGGCTTTGGCTGTTTCCATGTACATGGCTGGACAGGGGGAGCGTGTGTTAATAAAGCTTGAATTCACTGTGGGGGCCTCAGCCTGTGTTGGGGTGCAGCTTGGGAGGGCAGGCTTTGGGGAGTGGAGCTGGTGAGGAGGGGAAGCTGGGGACTGTGGGTCGGAGGTTTGGGCATTCATAGTAGGACACTGTATGGAGGTGGCCCAGTGGCTGGGAGAACAGGCTCTCTGAGCCAATACGCCTATACCCCTGCTAACTATAGCAGGTTTGGTTCCGTGGCCTAACTACAGAGACTGAGACGTTAGAGGAATGTGGTACTCCCTAGATACCCTCAGGACTATGGACCGAAAACCTCACCCCCATAGACCCTTGCTTTGGCCCTAGTCCTGGACAGCCATCAATCTGTGCTCGCTACCCTGCAACGTCCCTGCCTTTGTCATTTTCCAAAACTTTCGAGACTTTTCCTTACCCTCACCAGTGTGTTTTCATTTGTTTGGCTCTTGTGAGTTGGCCATACTAGGGGAGATCCGAAGTCGCCAGCTGGGAAAGTTGCCTCCAGTCAGGGCTGCCAGCAGAGTGGCGCAGAGGTGGAAGGTGGTTTGCCCCGGAGCCCACCACAAGCAGAGGGGAAGACGGGATGAACACTGGGGTCTCCCTGCCTGTGCCCTTGTACCCTACCCGTCCCTTCCAGCGTCTGGGTCACTGCTGAGTTCCAAACTGGGGGATACTGAGTTAAGTGTGTGGTTGTCTGAGGAGGCTGAGGGCCACACCTGGTGCGTGGTGAGCCAGGGTGTTTGTGAAGGGAATGAGGGAGCCACCTGGTAGGAGGTGCCAGCCAGGCAGGGGTGTGTCAGTGACTTGCATCTTTTAAGCTTGTATTTCGAAAGCACGGGGATGGGGAGGATGGGGACTTGGGCCACACACAGCCCAGGATGTGTGGACTTCAGAAGGTAAGGGGAAAACTTTAAATTATCATGCATTTCTTCCCATGTGCGATTATTAAGTCAAGTGTATCTTTTATACAGATGTTATTTGAAATCAGGAAATTTCCGTTCCTCATCAGACATTAGTAACAAAAGCAAAGCGTTTTTCAGTGCCCTGGAATCCATCTCCTCCAGGCTTTCTGATGGAGCAGCAGTCAGGACAGTCCCCGAGAAGCCAGGCTGTGGCTCAGAGTGGAGATGAGTTCTCCAAACACAGCCCCTACGCCCGGTTCCTCATTTTTATCGGCAGGCAGAAACCCCCGGAGTGTTGCAAGCAGGGCATTTAAACACGGGCCTTGCTGCCGGTTAAGCAATGGAACCCTTCCTGTTTTGCCCAAATAGAGTTGTGAGCAGGTGAGGTATTCTCCAGGGATGGCTGTCGCAAGGGGCCAGCCTGGCAGAGCCAGAGGCTACGGAGAGCTGGGGTCAGGTTGCCTCAGGATGAAGAAATGAGAATTAGGGCTGCAGGTGCTCAGGTTGGGATTCCTCACTCTGGGCTTTAGCCCACAATGGCTTGGGTAGCGTGTAGGTCCTGCTAGAGTTGCCCATCAGCCGGCCAGGGCCTTTCTGCTCTGAGTCTATGCAGTTAGAAACCGTGGGGAAGGAGCCGCTCTGCTGGTCTTGGTGCCCTTCGTTAGTGTTTGGTAGCAGTAGGTAGATGCTGTCCACTATTCCCGCAGGCCTTGGCTCTCGGGACCTGCAGTGGTACCTCTTGTCTGTGCCTTAAAAATCTGACTCCTCTGCTGTTGGCTGCAGCCACAGTTGGAATTCTTGTGTAGCCTGGCAGGTGTGGAGTACTCAGTCCACACTTGTCTTGGCTCGAGGTTTGGGACCCTGGGCCCTGAGGACAGTTCTTGGGAACTCCAGTGACCTGGGCCTGCAGTTTCTCTTCCCTGGTTCCTTCAGCCTTTGTTGTGCCTTAGTCTGCACTCTCCCCAGTCCCTGCTCTTACCACCTCTCTTCCTGCCCTGGCTCTCTTGAGCTAACTGCTGGGGTCTAACAAGCTCTCAAGAGCTAGCTGCTCTTGAGCTAACTGGTCAGCTGCTTCTTGGGCTGTGCCCCTTGGGCAGCGCAGCCTGTGACCACTCACCTGCCACTGATACTGCTGTTGCCTCTGTCACCACTCGCTGTGCTGTTGCTGTCTGCTGTCTGCTTAGCCTGCACCGTTGACTGTTGGCCATAGACGAGAACAGATCACCTTAAGAAGTCTTCTACTGGGACTAATGCTACACCAGCAGGGGCCGGAGCACAGGAGGGTGTCTCTCTGCCACTCCTGCCTGAGCAGCCAATCTTGAGAAAAGCTACTTGGGCCAGGCAAAGCCTTGCCTCTTAGCCCAGGTCATTGTAGCCTGCTAGACCACCAGGGGATGTGCTCCTCCTCTGGCTGAGATGAAAATGGCTGCAGGGTCATCTAGAGCTCACTCGGCCTCAGGACATCATCCCTGGCCGAGACCATGCCTCCAGGAGCTGGGGTGAGCAGATGGGCCTGGTTGATACTTCAATAGTTTTCTTACGGCCTCATCTGTGGAATGTTTCAGATGGCTGGTGCTGGCAGTAGGTTGCGAAGCTGACAATTCTTTTGTCATAGCAGTCAAGCATACTTCAGAAGTAAACCAGCTAGTTAGAGTGACACATTGCTCCCCGAGAGAACTAATCATCACTAATAGTGACTTTTCACAGATTGGTTTTTTAGTTTGCACTTTATTGCTGTGAAGAGACGATAGGACCAAGGCAACTCTTACAATGGAAAACATTTAATTGAGGCTGGCTTACAGCTTTAGAGGTTTGGTCCATTGTCATCCTGGTGAGAAGCATGGCAGCATGCAGGCAGACGTGGTGCTGGAGGAGCTAAGAGTTCTTCATCTTGATCTGAAGGCAGCAGGAGGAGACTGTGCCACACTGGGTGTAGCTTGAGCATAGGAGACCTCAAAGCCCGCCTCCACGGCGACAAGCTTCCTCCAACAAGGCTACACCTACTGTAACAAGGCCAATCTCTAGCAACACCTAATAGTGTTATTCCCTACGGGCCAAGCATTCAAACACAAGTCTATGGGGGCCGTTCCTAGTCAAACCACCATGGTTTCTTGAGACTGGGACCTGTATCCCAGAGTGACTTCAGAACTGGTTTTGTAGCCTAGGACAGCCCTGAACTTAAGAATCTCCTTCATTTACCTTCCTTAGGACCAGAGGCGCAGAATACCATGCCTGGCAATTTTAACAGTATTTTAGCACTGGGTACAGTGTTCTGGAAGAGACGGGTCCCTCACATCTGTCCCAGGGCTGCAGCTCCTGAGGGGGGTACTTAGAGCCACAGCTGGCATCTGAGACCTAGTAACCTCAACGCCACCCCAGCACATGCGTCCCTGTTTATAGATCCGGAAGGAGACATTTGGACCAATGGGAGCTAGCCTTTGGCCATCCTTCATTTGTATAAGAATTCCCTTTGAGCCAATAATTGTAGTTTCCTGTCAGCCACGAGAGGGCGCATGTCTGAGCACCCAGGAAGGTGAACTGGTCCCTGAGGTCTTGTTTGCCGCATAATCTGCTGAGCAGTGGCCTTGGAAGCTTCAGGATATGGTGATGATTCAGCACCTCTGGTCAAGGTGTGGTCTCAGCTCTGGTTCTGGCAGCAATGTTATCTTTTGAGGGGACCAACTTGGTCCTATAGGACAAATACTCTTGCTCCAGGGTATGGCCCCTCTCTCAAGGACAACTGCCTTCATCTGAGGGATGGGGTGTGCTGAGGGTTGGCCTGGCACTGTTTGTGTGTGTGTGTGTGTGTGTAGGGAGAATTCTGTCCTTCTGGGCTATGCAGTTCCTGGATTTCAATGTCAATGCAGTTTTAGGGCAATGACTATCTCTGTGCCTTTGAATTTGAAGTGAGATGTGATTAATATGCCTGAGTACAGAGGTGAGCAGCTGACACAAAGTAACACAGCCATAAAATGATGGCAGAGGTGCCAGGCTGTCCTGCTCTTTGTGGGATCGAATGAGGAGTTGGACCCTTTTCACAAAAGCAACTTCTAAAAACCTTTATGAAGATGTGTGGGGGTGGATCAGTATAGCTCCTCTATTTGGGCTTTTAGAATGAAGACAACACACCTGTCTTAACAGTTTATATTTTGTATTGTGTGATGGAACCCAGGGCCTGTACTCCTCTCCCAAGCCACACCCTCGCCCTGTGGTTATACACTGAACAGTGTTAAGGCCTTGTGCATCTTGGGGAGGCAGCTGGTTTCTCTGCTCTGGCATGGATGGGCCCCTGCCAATTTGACTGGCTCTGCAAGTCACTCCCTCTCTGCAGGGTATGTGGGTATACCTATGGTGGGCTTTCTTGGGCACTTGAGGAGGGGATGTCTGTCCAGGTCTGAGAGGTGGAGGTGGAGGTTCTCAGGCCTCAGTAGTTTTTCACGAGGCCTTGCTGTGGGGGCTGAGGGTTGTGTGGCTCTGCCTCAGACGTGGTTGCTGCGAGTCTCTGCCTTCTTGGGTTTCCAATCAGCCACAGGACCTCAGCACCCATGGGGCTGATAGGGCTCCACTAGTCATTCATCATGTGAACCCTGCCTCCCTGGGAAGCAGAACCAGAGCTCCAGAAAATGGACAGTGAACATCATGGACTGACAATCTCTTTCCCTCCAGTGGTCAGAGGTATGCACCTAAGTTAACTTTATAAAAGTGTGTTTCTCAGTTTCTGTCTTTATCTGGCTATCACCCAAATAATCAAGACAATTAACAAGCTTCACAGTATAATACCTGAGCAGTTATTACTATATTCACAGCTCTCTAAACCAATCTGGCTTCCTCCCAGCGTCCATCCCAGAGATACTTGCACTTTGTTGCTTTTCTGCGTGAGCACCTCTCCTCTCTCTCCTGGACCTCTGCCCATGGCTGAATCCCTCTTCCAACTCCTCTTCCCCTGGCTGGCAGCAAGTCCAGCCCTATTTTTTCCCCTGCTTATCCATTGACTATAGCTGATTTATTGGCATATCGGGGAACAATTGGAGAGCAGTGTTTACACAACACTGAGAAAGGAGAGTCTCAGGATTGTAGCCAGATTTGGGGCTGGAGGGGAAGCATACAGAAATCA